AGTTTCTTGGCTAAAAGTCAAAATGTCCTTGGGCCTCTTAGCAACATACTCTGTTCCAAAGGCCAAAAATGTCAAAAGCATTTGGGAACTCTTATCTAATCCCTAAAAGATTTTAGGGTTACTGCTTCAGAAGGGGGAATGTTAGAGCAGCAAAAAGTCCCATTTAAAAAAAAAAAAGAAAGAAAGAATATACAAATTTGTCAGAAAAAAGTGATGGGGAGATATGAAAGGTATTGGAAGGGAGGGAGTGGGTGTGGATTTGATGTTAAAAAATAAATAAATAAATAAATAAAGGGCTGGAGAGATGGTTAAGAGGAGAAGAGTCCTGACTGCTCTTTCAGAGGATCCAGGTTCGATTCCTAGCACCCACATGGCGGCTAACAACCGTCTGTAACTCCTCCAGTTCCAGGAGATCTGACACCCTCTTCTGATCCCCTGCAGACACTGCGCAACATGAGTGCCTTTAGGCAGGCAATATACTCATACACATAAAAAAAATACATAAATAAAAAGAAGGCAAGTACCTTTAAAAAAATTTATAAGCAAAAACAGTTCTGTGGAAATACTTATTACGAAGCTTCTAGACAATTGGAAAAAATGAAAATTTTAAATATTTGAAATATTAAGTATTTTAATAATTTCCATATTATGTCATTAAAAATTCAAATGCCTTAATTAAAATGTTGATACTTTCTTTGTGTAATCATACATAAAGATTTGCATATATCTCTAAAACAGAAAGCAGCGATTTTCTTTACATTTCTTATTGCAGAGCACATCATGATTTTTAAAAATTAAAACAAACTGTATTTTCAATTTATATAGTTAAATATAGTAAAAGAAAGAAAAGCTGAAGGAAAATATTTTCAGTTGCAGTTGAGGAAAAATACTTACTCAATTTTCTGCTGCAGTTGTTCAGAAAGCTTTTTATTTTCTTCCTGAAGATTGTTCTTTTCATTCACTTCAAGAACAATGTGAAAAAGAAAGCAAATAGTTATAGTAATATTCAAGTAAGGCTTTTATTTTTGTTTTGTCTGAGCATGTCTGTGGGGATTATACCGATTCATTAATTGAGGGCAGGAAGGCACATCTATTGTGGGAGGTACCATGCCCTAGGCAAGGTATCTTGAACTGAGTAAGAGTGGAAAAAGTGAGCTTAGCACTAGGGTGCATGCCTTCACTGCTCTCTGCTCCTGATTAAGAATGCAAAGCAACCAGCTCCTTCAAGCTCTTGCCACTGACTTTCCTGCCGTGATGGACTGTAACCTGAACTAAAAGCCAAAATAAACCCTTTTCCTTTAAGCTGCTTTTGTTAAATATTTTACCACAGCAACAAGAAAAGAAATAATACAGAAGTATATCTTAAGATCAACAGGTAGCCAGGTATGGTAGAGCACTTGAGAGGCTGAGGTAGGAAGATTACCATGACTTGAAGGTCAGCCCAGGCTAAAGAATGAGATTCTGTATCAAGAACTCAAACCAAACCAAACCAAAATGATTACTAGGTAACATTTTTTATAGACAAATAATGTGAATATTGATTTGTTAATATATAGTACAGCATACACCAGAGTGAAAACAAGTATTGACACATGATCACTAAAATAAATGTGTATCCTGAGTCAGGTGTGGTGGCACATGCCTATAATTCTGGCTAAGGCAGGATGATTATAAATTCAAGGACAGAAGTCAAGTTTGGGCTACACTGCAAGACCCTGTCTTAAAAGAAAAAAGAGCTTCTGAACTAATGGAGGAGGAGCAGAAACAGGAGACAAGGGACAGGAAGAACTGTTACAGACAGAATCAGCAGTTATCTGGCAACTCAGTCTTTGTAGGGGAAGACGAAGTCAAAGATGACATTAGATTCCTCATTAAGTTGTTTACTTGACTATTCTTTAAATCCAAAAAGAAATGATAAAGCAGCCCTGAAAATATGTCCACTGTGGTATTGAAGAGCAAGAAAAAGTGCTACTAACAGATCAGAAATATGAAACTTCCTGACTTAAAAACAAACTTAGAATGATGGTAAAATCCAACAAAATGGCTACTTTTAGAATGTGAGCTTTCATAGCAAAACCTTCTATCAAGCCTAGTAACAGAGGCAGAGGCTCAGAAATGTCTACAAATGGGTTCTTCCGGGAGCATGGGAAATAGATGCTCTTGAGCAAAAGTCATGAAGGTACATCTAGAGAAATTCTGACACAGGAGAGCCCATAAATAAATACCAAGGCAAGGAAATCAGAATAGTGTTCCTCAGTAATTTACAATAAACAGAGAAGATACCCTTACATAGAACATAAATCATACACTCTATAGACATGTTCTCCAGTCAGGTACGATTCCTATAAATCTATTTTGATTTCTTTTCTTTTTATTTTTTAACTACCAGCAAATCAGAGTCTCCCTTTGGCTAAGAAAATAAGACATTTTCCAAGACCAATCACTTTAAGTGCCATCTACGATTATAGAAAATGAAGAGTCAATACTTGAAGAAAGTGGTTAATGTTTAAAAAGTTAAAATTAGCTGGGCACAGCAGCCCATACTTTTAACCCCAGCACTCAGGAGGCAGAGGCAGTAAGATCTCTATGAGATCAAGGCCATCCTGGTCTACACCAGGTAGTACCAGGCCAGCCAGTGATACATTAGTAAGACACTGTCTTAAAAGAAGCACCGCCCACCCCAAATAAAATAAAATAAATAAGGAACTGGTAAGATGGCTCTGTGCTTAAGATCACTGGCTGTGCTTGCATAGGATCCGGACTGACATGGCAGCTAACAACCATCTGTAACTGCAGTTCCAGGGGAATCTAACACTCTTTTCTGGCTTCTATGGGCATTGTATGACACGGGTGGACTTATACACATACAGGAAAACCACTCACATACATAATACATAACAATCGAAAAAATTTCAAAAAATAAATAAAATTAGTCAAAAAGAATTCTTTTTTGGGGGCAGGGTTATGTCTGTAGGAGACAGGGTCTCATATGGCTTGGGTTGCCTTTGAAATAGTTAAGTAGTTGAGAATAACCTTCAACTTTTGATTCTCCTGCCTCCATCTCCCAAGTGCTGGAATTACAGGCCTGTGCTACCTTGAGTGGTTTATGAGATACAGGGCTTTGTAACACAAATAAGTAAGGTTCTGTTTATTTCACTCTACCAACTGAGCTACATTCTCAGCCCAATAATTCACATCCGTAGTAGTAGTTTTATAAGGAAAATGTCTTTTACTAAGTATAAATGACATCAGAAATGTTTTGAAGGTTGATGACTCCATTAAAAA